GAGTTTAGGGCTGTTGTACATAGGGTCGCTATGAGTCGCAGGCGACTCGACAGCACATAACAACAATAACAACAAAAGAAATTTCTGGACTGGAATGTGAGCCAAGAATTATGCTATTATAGTAGAAAAAATACACAAAGAATAGCAGTGCACACGTCTAATTGTTTTGTGAATTTTTTTTTTAAGTACAGAAGTGAAATTAAAGTTGCTGTCTTCACACGTTGTTTCACTAGTGTTCTGGAATACAATGCTATTAAATATACTCATTTTAAAAACAATAATGAAAATACCTGTAAAATTACAATGTTCACAATTTTATGGTCATCTGACTTATTAACTAAAATACGTAAAGTATAAAATTTGGCCCTGATGAGTGAGAGAATTTATTTCATAGTATGCTGTCTTTGAAGTGCCAGCAGGTACACAAAGTGGAGATAATCTCAGGCAATTACAAATTCACTTCTGGCATAAAACTAGAAGTATAGATTTGGGTATCACCAGCATGGAAGCCACTAGGTAAATTACATTGAAAAAATGTAGGATGAGACATTGCTTAGGATTGCTGAAGAATAAGACAGATCATAGTTTTAGTAATTAAGAAACTAGCAGTAATTTTCTAGGAGGAACTGATCAGAATGTGTAGATAGCAACCAAATGCAGGAGAAACCTATGAATGAAGAGGTGAGGAATGAGATTAGGGTATTTTTGAGGGTCAAATAGCAAAATGGCACAGTGTTTTTACAAAATACTGAGAAAAATTAAGTTTGTCAGCATTGAGAAAGAAACCGGTGGAAACATTGAGAATAGTTTCTTCAAGTATTTAATCCTCTTTTACTTTTCAAAACTGTAAGCTCCTAAGGCTCCTAAGGCCCTCTGTGTAGTACAATTTTGTATCAAGTATTTGCTACTAGACTATACTTACAGAATTTACCTCAGCAAGTTTAGTGGGAAATTTTGTCCATGAGAGATTGAGTTAATTGTAGATTATGATAAATCTCCAATTTTCTTTTGTCTTGATCCATGTATTTTAAATATTGTTATCAGAGTCCTTCTAAGAAAGAGACTTGTACAGTGTATAGAAAGATACTTGATACCCTCTTTATTTGAGGGTATCTATTTGACTTTGCTTTTGGAAGAAATAATGGTGCCTGGTAAATAAATCAAAATTATTTATACTTTATGGCTATAGATATATAGGCAACATGTTTGTTCTAAGGCTGTTTTAAGGAAACAAGTATTTAATCATCCAATGAAATGCAGTAATTTTTTTTTCTTATTTCTGTAACTAGATAAATGCTGTTCAATTTTTTTGGTGGGTGTGTGCGCTGTTTATTTATGTGTGTTTTCCACTGAAAATGTTGCAGTATATTGTCTGTCACTGTCTTCACCCTCTAGGGGTGGGTTGAGGTAGAGAGGGTGTGACGCTGGTATTTGTGTGAACTCCGGTTTATGATGCTGAGCTTGGTTCGTCTGCTTTCTCCTCCCTTCTCCTCCCCACCAGCGCCACGGCAACATCCTAAGTCTGAGCGAAAGGCGCCCAGCTTCAGCACAGAGATTCCCCACGCCAGTAACCTGCGGCCCGAGAGAAGAAGGCAGCAAGCGAAGTGACTGTGCCTCACTGGACCAGGATGGCCAAGAACCGCAGAGACAGAAACAGTTGGGGTGAGTAGCAAACGGGAACTTCTGCAGCCTGTTTAAAGACTGGCCTTCTGCTTTCTGCTTCTGGAGACGAGCAGAGAGGGCCAAGGCTGATCCAGCGTCAGCTTCCAGGGCTGGGAGCCATGACTGAGTGGTCCCGGCGGAGCTGGAATCGTCCTGCAGGCAAAGGCTGCAGCTTCCCGCAGGCCTCGGGAGCCTCCAGCTGCTCCCCAACCCCAGCCACCTCCACCCAGCATTTGGACAGCACCCATCCTCACCTCCCGGACTCCCTGGTTTCCCCTTTACTAATAGACTAAAAGGCAGGCGTTGAGTGTGGCCAAGAGACTTCTTTCTACCCATGGAGAAAGGCAAGGGGGTCGGGGATTGAGCACAGGCGGAATCCTCCCTGTCGTTGCCTTCCCCCACCCCCCAAACTGTGCGGTCGCCCGCCTGGCAGGGCGCGGGTTCCCCGCGGGCAGTCGATGCTTTGGAACAATGGGGAGGAGCATGCCTCACAAGGACCTAGCGAGATGGACTCCCACGACCCAGATGGGGCACCTGGCTGGGTGTCCCCCAGCGCTGCAGCAATTGTTTTGATTTGGGGGTTGGGTGGGGAATGTGGGCACCAGGGAAGCAAAGTTACGGCTTCCAGGCTTCTGCCCCACCCGACCTGGTACCCTCGTCAGGCTAGCCCACAGGGTGGCTTTGTTCATAGCGTTTTACCTTTAGGAGCTACTAGGTTCATGATTCAGCAGCAGGCCTAGGGGTGGGGGAAGGAGAGCTAGGCCCCGTGGGTTCGCTCGCGAGTGGGTGGGCGGCGCTCACGAAGGCAGAGAGGAGCGAGCGCAGCGATGCGGGGAAATCTGGGCCCCGCCCGGCCCGCTGCTGCAGGCACGCCGCGGTCCTCTTCCTCCTTAGCCTCCAGATTTCACCCAGTAACACACTCACCAACATCTTAGGGGCTGACTGCCTCTTGGGATTTTTATTTACCTAAGCCATTGGGAGGACCGAGTCAGTGAGGCTTGGTGGGTGGAGAACTGTTTTATAAGCCTTGAATTGTTATTATTTAAAAGTTTAATCCTATTAGGAGTCTGGAGCTACTTTATTTTCTTCTAAGCCTCAGTCAAATCTCTTCTATTACTGCCAGCCTGACCAAAAGATATATGCTTGGATTCTCATTGGTTATCTTGGTTTCCTTTTATCAAAAAAGACTTGGCTTCTTTTTTGTTTCTGATTGTTGTGGTCACAGGAGCAACTTCAGCCCCAGCAGCTAAGACTTTGAGAGACCATCCAAGGTTTGTGGTAGATGTGGAAAGTTTGAGTAGGGGTACCTTAGTTGTTAGAGCCTACGGAGAAAGCTGTCCATTTTTTCAATCCACCAGACCCCAATTTTAGGTGTAACTCTTGCAATAACACCATTTTCTTGGCTTCTCTGGAATTGGGATTAGCATTATCAAGGTATGCCCTTTCCACTCTTTCCTTTGATCTTTATAATGCGAATTTCTTGAAGCCTCACAGTTAACAGTGTACAGATATTCCCTGTTTTATACTCAGGTTTCATTTCCACATCCTTTTGTAAATGGAATGCCTCATTGTATTTTAGTTTCCATTATTATTGCAATATCATCACTACCTTTATAAATCACAGCATTGAACATGTTCAAATGAACATCTGAAAATGGAAAAAAATAGGAAATTACGCACTGCAACTTTGTATGTAACATATATTATTAATGTAAAGATGTGCCCCTGCCCCCCCCAAATTATGGTATTAAATGTTCCTTCTGAATATATGCATGGGACTACTTGTACATGGTCAAATCAATTTAAGTTTTGAGCTCTTTAAGTTGTTAATACCATCCTTTATGAGACAGGCATGTGAAAATTTGTTCTGAGGACTAAAATTTCCCTTTCTTGAGAAATTTCGGATCATTATTCCTCAGGATTTCCTTGGACTGCAGAGTTCTTAAGTGATGAGTTGGTTTCCTTCCCCACCCTGCCCCCTTAATTAAGAAACTAAGACACTGTGGTGTGTAGCCAAGGTGCTCCTTGAAGGCAAGGGTGGTGAAACTTTGTCTCAGATACTTTAGGCATATTGTTAGGATGGGCCAGTCCTTGGAGAAGGACATCGTGCTTGGACAGGAAAGGAGGGTCAGCATAAGAAAGGAAGACCTTTGTACACAATGAATTGATACAATGAGCTTAACAATGGGCTCAAGTATATCAGAGATGATAAGAAAGGCACAGGATAGAGCAGAGTTTAGATCGGTTCTATGTAAGGTGCCTCTGGGTCATAGTAGACTCTGGCACATCACAACAACTGTGGTGTAGTTGAGTCAGACTCTAACAACCCTTTCTAAGATTTCCAAAGATGTAGGGAGCTCTGGGAGCTTAGTTTTAAGGAGTTGTGCTGCCAACCCAGAGGCACATTGTTCAAATCCACCAGCTACTCTGAGAAAGGTGGGTGATTATGTAATTTATTGTCTTTGAAAACCAGTATGATGATCGGTTATGTGTAGGTTCTGACTCAATAGTAAATCTTTATGAGAGGAGGCTGTGTGTCTTTGTCAATTGTCGGGCTCAAACCACTGAACTTTCAGTTAGCAGAGCCATATATAAAGTATTAGACCCCCAGAGTATCTTAGTAGTTCTCCAATGGAATGTGCATAAAATAGGTACTGGGGACTTAGTCTAAATACAGTTATCTCTGTCTTTAGAATTTCTTTGTCAGTAGATCTGAAATAAGACCTAGGAATGCTGTTTAGTTAGCATTTTAGGTGATTCACAAACATGGTATTTGGATGTTATTTTGGAAACACTTTCTTAGATTATGCATATTTTGATAGAAATACTATAAAAATAGTTTACCCAATAGTCATTAGTATAGATACAACTCAAGTGGTATAGCACTGGTCTATCCATTTGCTGTACAAGGTAACTCGTGGTTGCTGTGATGCTAAACACTTTGACACTGATGTCTCAAATGTGATAATGGTTACTCATGGTGGACAGTGTTTGGTGGAGCTCCCCAATTAAAACAAGCTTGGAAGCAGGAGTGGCATCCACTTCCGAAATAGCTTGCCTCCGGAAACACTATGAACTTGGAGAAACTATAAAAGTTATACAAGTGTTCAGTCTTTTGTTCATAGGGTCACTATGAGTCGTCTACGACTCAACAGCATTTAACAATAACAATAGAGTAAGGGAAAATATGCCAATCTCTTATGCTCAGTAGGCATTGTCATAGAAAAGAAATTAGTGGAATCAAGAAGTCTTATCTTGATGCTGTAAATGCTTTGTTGTGCTTTTTTTTCCTGTAAAGTGTATGTGACATCAATAACTTAGAAAAAGCAGTGCATCAAATAAGAGATAGAGATTGTGATAGAGATATTAACCATGTTTTTCTTGTTTCTGTTTTCTCACTACCAACTATGACTATGCCAGTTTATTTTTTATAACATGAGACTATGGAATCTATAAGATAATGAAGTGAGGTAGGAGGGTCATAGAGAAAAGAAACTCTCTAAGAATACAGAGGTCTCACATGAGGACAATCAAACAAACAAATTAAAACAACTTGGGTAATAGCTAACTAAAAGAAGATGGTGAATTGACCTTATCATCTGGCTTAATGTTTTTCAGGCAAGTTTTAAGGAAAAAGACAGAGGTCGAAGACAGACTACCTATAATTGTAAAATATAGTATTCTTCAACACCCCCCCCCAAAAAAAGAGGAAAAGGATATTTGTAAAATCATAAGAAGAGGCCTAAAATTCAGAGAAGGATAATAGAAAAGCTTGCTGACTTTCTTTTTAAAAAAAATTGCAAAATTGAGAACTCCTGGAGAATATGTCTACTCTGGCAGACATGGAGTCTCTAAGCTAGAATTGACTTGATGGAAATTGATAAAAGGACATATACTCAATGTTATGGGTTTTATTTGTTTGTTTGTTTGTTACTTGAATTGCCCATAACCTTTTTGATCTTGCAGCAGCCATGGATGTTAGAAAGCAAAATTTTAAGTCTCATGACTACCAGGGCTGGACATTGTATTTGAGGATCATATGCAAAGATGACAGCTGGAACGCTGGGCTGTGACTATAGACTGAGTTGGTTCTGACCTGATGGCAATGCGTGAGTAAGTATAGATTTAGGCAGAGTATTCACTGCCAGCATGTCGAAACCAACTCACAACTGACCCACAAAATACAGGGAAGGAAGTGATTGCTCATCTTTCTCCCATGTGGCTGCTGGTGGATCTGAACCAGCAGAGAGGTAGCAACACAGCTCACTGCGGACTATAGCAACAGAGCTCCTTATACTTAATTGAAGTTTGAATAAATTTAAGCATTTAATGGTCAATTAAATAAAGGTAGCAATTATCTGCACTTTAGTATATATAAGAGAGCACTGGTGGTTTAGTCTGTGTGGGTGTGCTGCTAACCCAGTGGCGGCACCTTTCTGGCAATTCAAATCCACTAGGGGCTGCATAGGAGAGAGATGGGCAGTCTCCTCCCATAGGATTTAGAACATCCAAAACCCCCTTTGAGGGGTCACCTAGGAGTCTATTCTAACTCGATAGCAGTAAGCTGAGTTTTAATATATGAGGAATATGAGACCATGAGTAACTTTCCAGAAGTACTAAAATGTACAAATTATACATTTAAAATAAGTTTAGCTTTGAATGCTTTCAGTCTATGGGATAGAAAGAAATATATGATTAGGCAGTGTACATTTGACAACACCCCAGAATAAAAGGTATATCATTGTAAAGAGGACTGGAGTAGAGGGGGAGGTAGGTAATTGAGCAACAATGAATGAATTTTTTTTTTAAAGTGAACTGGGGAAGTAGGAAAAGAAAGGGGGTAAAATGGGCAATAATGAATGAATGAAAATCGTTAAAATCACAATTACAATAAAATTTCCTTTTTTTAAAAATAGATGAAGTATTGGGACAGTATGTCAAATGGTACATCTCATTCCCAAAACCTAGCTAGGATTAAAGTAGCCAAAGAAAGCAATACT